CAGCCCACGTTCCCGGCACAATCTGCTCAGGTCTCACTCTCAGAAGGAAAGAGACAGTATCGTCAGGGAGATGGAGCAATAATCTAGGCTTGCTTTTGTCTTGCTCTTTCTTCCTACCCGCCAAAAGAGAAGGACGTGAACGTCGACGATGACGACGGCTGGTGGGAGTTCTTTATCAAGTTCAAAGTCGTTATCTTCATCCAGTGGTCTCCTTCGGTTTTCATTCCCCTTTATATTCTCATTATTTGGTTCGGCCTATCACTACCTAGCGCACATCCAGGGAGGGGGTGATGGGTGACCCTTTCCGGGGGTGGCAGCAGAGATTTTGGGGCAACTACATTGTATTCGTAATAATAGATTATTTTATTCATTCTCGGAGTCAAGAGGTTGACTTCTGCAAAAAAAAAAAAAAAAGGTGAATCGTTTATCATGTGCCGTATTATTCAAATAAATTGATTCCATTTATAAAGTAATTAATTATAATTTATAAAACAAACGGAAACAAACGGAAGCAATGCAGTTGACTAAGTATATTTCTTAATTCACTCCCTCCCTCTCCTACTTAATTATTGTCAATATGGTTAATTTAGAAAAAATAATAAATATATAAAATAAGTCTTATATATATTACTAATATCAACTCTCTGATTAGTTTTTATTTTAACTATAGGAGGAGTATTATTAAATAATTGAAAAAAAAAAGCAGCAAACTGGCACTAGGTAGGTGCTGCCAGGTGTCCAATGGACAGACATCCATGGTGGGAATTAGATTGGAATGTTTCCTTTTTTTTCTTTTTTTTTTTTGCCAACAGAATGGAATGCTTCTAATTACATAAAATAAATAAGTGGAAATTACATAGCAAAGAGTAATTGAACAGCCATTAGGCGTGTTTGCTTCTTTTTTTTGGGGGGGGGGGGGAACTACGCGTTTTTGCATTATAGTAGGTGCATTGAAACAGAAAAATAAACTGCAATGACGAAAGAATTGGGGGAGCGGGGGACAAGGGCGACATTGTCTTTTCCTCCCACGACTAATATTTTTCTAAGCATATTTCTTCTGACCCTGCTAATATATCAATATCATGTTCATCTCCCTTATTTTCTAAATAAAAATTTATGATGAAATGTGCGATTTTTATTGAATAAAGAACTCACTAAATAAGAGAAGTTACAGTGTATTAAATAAACGTACTATGTTTTTTTAAAATTATTTTTAGTGCTAATTATAAAACTTTATTTATAGAATATAAACGGGATTTTATAATTAAAACCGGTAGTATAATTTATAAAGAATGAGATCCTTTACAAATTCCTTTTCATTCTCTTTCCCTCTTCTTTCCTTAACTACATCCACACTTCAGAAGAACCTATTTAATGCATTGATAATTTGATATCGTTTTCGATGACAAGGAAGAGGAGAGATTAGGTGCCCAAACTGATCCATGAATTTAATATATATATATATATATTTATGTTAGCCAAGTGGGAGGTTACTACATCTTAATAATACATGTAATAAAAATATTTAAAATACCCAAAACCCAAATTATTGCGCGTAAAATAAATATTTTTTGCAATGAATAAGAGAAAATTATAGGCAAGTCCAAGTAGATCAATTATTCGGCTTTTCGCGTAACTTACAAACAACGTCTCGCACGAGCACACGGCACCTCTTCCTTTTGAACTTTCATCTTCAGTTGCGTCCAAACTCAAATAATATCATCAATTTTTATCATTGAACATTGAAACTCTACTTTAAACACAAAGACCAAACGTTGATTTTATATTATTTTTTTGTAAGTATAACCCTATGTGTATTGTCTGGTATGAAGAAAACAGAGAGTATGCAAAATGAAATTTTTTTTTAATTAGTTCGATTTAAAAAATTATATAATTGAAGATATAAAATTTTGATAAAGAAAAAAAATATAAGGTAAATGGTAAGAAAAATCAATTAAAATTTTTTAACCTTATCTTTTAATTTTTTTTAAAAATTCAACAGCGGGAACATTCTTTTTTCAGCCTTTGCGCCAATGTTCAGCTAATCTAACGGCCAAAAAATAAATACCGTTACAATATTGATCTATTAGCTGATTTTGTGTGCTATTATCAAACACATCAATTGATTTCCTTTCAAAGTCAAAAAATAATTGCAGGAGAGAAAAAGCTAGAAGCATTATTAATTATTAAACACTCATGATATCATCATTTGAAATCAAACCGCAGGACGCGTATGCGTATCACACTGTGCCTGACCTGACCATGTACGTGATCAAATATATTGCAGATTCTATATATACACAAACGCCAGTGTTATAAATAAATAATTTTTTTTCCTTGACTTTGAACTCTCTATTATTTGATATTGTGGCTCACTGATTGGGCAGAAAGGATAACGTAATTTAATTGGTCTTTTTGGATACCTCTAGGAGTTTCCTTGATTCTCACGGGATTGTTTACCCCTCGATATTGTTTAATTAGCTAGCTTATCTAATATTCCATCAGATCATAATTATATCATTAATTTATAAAGATTAAAAGATTAATTAAATTAGTTATTTATGAAAAAAAATACATGTTGATTTACTTAAACTACTTTTTATAGTTATATTATAAATATCCTCATAATGAAATAAAAGAGGTTAAAAAATATTTACTTAGAAGATTAAATAAATTAATATTTTTCGTCTGGAATTAAAATAAATTTATCTAGTAATTTTTCCTGGGAAATACCAGTGAGCGTTCATGTCAACAAGTATTGCTTAATTATATATATTTATAAGTTATTTTTAATATAGACAGAGAAAGATATTAAACTTCAGTATCTCCTTTTCAAAATTCAATAATTTTCTAATTTTAGCTCTCTTTAATATGCATTATACCTTATGAGAATAAAATCAATACAATAATAAATGATGAGTAAAATTATGTATTTATATGAAAATTTTCTCCTTTTACTTTATAAATATGACTAAAATTTTTTCTCTCTATCTATCGTATAAATAGAATCAAAAGAGTATCAGTCATTTCCAGCCTAGGAGATAATTTTATCACTTTATCATGATTGGAACTCGGAAGCCTGTGCCCGAAAAGTTGACAACGGGACATGTTTTAGCCAATATGAAGTTTGGATTCGATGGAAGTTGTCTTGTTCTGGAAGCTGGCATGAGCAATGGATAATATCTGTAATAATAATATTATCATAATCCTATAGATAACAAGTTTGTTGTTATTGAAATGAATTGAAAGGCACGAGTAGAAGTCTGAATGGTTCGGGACGAGTGAGGCGTGATCAGTTGTGACAAAAATGTTTAAGATGATGATATAAGTTATTGTATCCTGTGATATTTTGTGAAGTGGTGGGGAGGAGATTGAAATTGAAGATGAAAATGCACTGGAGATCAGGGGATTGACAACGATGATGGGATTATATGGTATTGACGTAGCGCTGAATTATTGCAAAGAGACAAATGTGCCGTTGATGTAATGTATTGTGTCTTAGGGATAATTATGCTTCATAATTAACTGATATTTTTTATTAACAACAAAATTAGATAGGTTATTTTTTTTTTATCAAGGTTAAGGCATACATTCCGGTTAAAAAAAAAAGCTTCCGAAAGAATTTATAAAAAAGCAATTTGAACTCACACTCTTATAAATTATGGCCAAACTTTTATTAGCTTGTGAATAATTATCATTAGAAAGGTCATGAACTACTCATCAAAAAAAGAAAGGTCATGAACTGAAACACTTTATAGTCAGATAGTCTTTTAAATGAAAGGTCACTCACGATAGCAATATTCAAACGATGACAGCAACTACGAGTTGGCAAGGCCCCGGGGGGGGGGGGGGAGACTCCAAATACGACACTTTTTTTTTTAGGGGCATTACAGAAATATAACCCTCTCATTTGTTTGATTACATATATAGCGTATTAAATAAAAATCAAATCATAATTTTAAAAATAATTTTATATTATATAAAAATAAATATATAAAAAATTTATTTAGAATTATGAAAAATTGTTTTGAGAAAATATTTTTAGGAGATATTTGGATAAAAACCCAACTATAATTCTAAAAGTAATTTTACAGTATATAAAATAAATATGTAAAAAAATTTATATCAATTTATAAAAATATACTTTTTAAAAATACTTTTATAGGATGCCAAACATTTTTTAGTAATAACCAAATGCCCTGTAAAGTAATCCAAGAGGCATGGCGTGGCAGGAGGACCCCACCCTATCCCCTTGCCATCATCCTCTTTTGGATATGACATCGATCTCATCATTACATCACGTTCCCCACCCATCGCATGGAGAATCAAACTACTAATCTTTAGACCCCGTTAATTAATTTAAAAAATTAAAAAAATTATTTAAATTAATTATTTATAATAAATATGTGTTTTTTTAAAATATCTTTGCTATTCATACATATTAGCTAAAACTGTTATTTGATGAAACTTTTAACATGTATAACTACTACAAAAACTATTTTTAAAAAATAGATAAATATAAAAAAAAAAGTGTTTATAGTCAAATTAAAAATCAACCTAGCTCTTATTAAAATACAGAAATAGTAAATATGATGATAACAAGTTTATCAGTATTTGATATCTGAACATTTGTTATTGCTGCTAGAAAACAACACGTAACCTGCCATTAAAATGGTACAAGGGTTAGAACTCACAACTTAACACAACAATCGGACCCAAAAACGGGTTAGAGAAGAACAGTACAAACAAATTTCTTACTAAAATTTTAAAAAGAAAGAAATAAAACTGTTCTCAAATCAAGGAAGATGACATTCAGCAAATATAAGTTATTTAACGAGGCGATTCAACAAACAAGTTATTTACAATGTCATGGCTATACGCCTTTTTTTTTTTAAAAAAAATAATTTTATCATTAAAAAAATTGTATATTAAAAATTCTGGATCTAAACCATTCAAATTAGATTTTGAATAGTTCAGATTTTATTGTACCATAAGTACATGGTGTGATAAGCACCAAATGAGGACCAACTTTAATCCCGCTCTGAGAACACTGCTACGAGGCCATGTGATGTGCCTCAGCACGCTGAATCTCGTTGGCATGTGCTGATGGGACATAGACGGCATTTAACAGTGAGCTGTGTTTGCGGCCATAGCATACATAAATAGCTGCTCCAATGGCCAACCACAATGAAACTCGAATCCAAGTAGAAAGCCTGAAGTTCATCAGATACCACGAACATCAGACGTGATCCATCATATATCATATATTGTTCATCCACGCACAAAACCAAGTGAAGCATGTTTGTCTTTGGACACTCACCCAAGATCAACTAATAGGTAGGTGTTTATAAGAATGCAGATTGCAGGAAGGAATGGAACACACGGGCAAAGAAACCCTGAAATATAAGATATCAGATCATTCAGAATGAGGTTATAGTAATTTAATTATCTTTTATCCTAGTGCAAGATAGTGTGGACTTCTGGACGGTAGCTACAACACCTGCATGTGTTCTTTAATAACATGTTAGAACGAAGTTTAATTGTCGTCTAACATACCTCCTGTGTGTCCAAAACTGTGCCTCGCATCATCTTGGCCTATATAGGCGAGGACAATTGTACTGCAGACAAGAATTAGTGCACCCAGACCGCAAATTGTAAAGCGCACAACGCTGGCACAACGTTAAAAAGAACGAGGCAGATTTGAAGAAAATGGGAAAGGATTTAGTTATTCAAACTGGTCAAGCAAAAGAAACATGTCTTCAACAAAAATTTAATTGCTAGTTACACACAACACAACCTTAAAAACGCAATTACAGCATCCATTTTAACTGGACAATTTTTCGCGAATAGAATACCAGAAATACATCTCGGTCGTTTACTTCAAAACTAGTTAAGAATTAAGATGTTCTCAAGATTGACTCACCTGGGACAACCCTCAGTTGAAGCTGCAATTGCAAAGATAAAAGTCCCTATACAAAGAAAGCATATGCTCCATGCAGCACGTTTCCGTCTATGGACGGATGCTATCAGCACAAAGAATAATGGTGAGGTTTGGGCATAACAGCTAAAAACTGAATCGCACTAGGGATGAATGCTATCACCACAATGCTGAATCATTATCGATAAAGTCATTAATGCAAAATTACAACAAATATCAAGTTTTGCAGGAGAACGATTTGAAACAGCATCAAACAATGAATGCTAACACCACAATGCCAACTACGGAAAAGGTCAGAATATAAACTCAATGATTACCTTGTGTTCCCTGTTTCATGATTAAAGGATGTCCAAGCAAGGCAGCTGCCTCATTATGTGATTGTTGATGGCTATTCTCATGAGAATTCCCAGTATCTACAGGACTTGCTACTCCAATTTCCTCAACATCGCCACTCAAATGCAAAGGCATTGGGTCAGTGGATGCATCAACTGATGATGGAATAGGAGGCATTGGATCAATGGATTTTTGAAGTGAAGATGGAATGGGCACCTCGTCAGGTGGAACATATCTGAGAATCAAAACTGAAACTGCAACAGTGGTGAATGCAAGCAGTGTTCCGATGCTAACCTACAATTCCCAAAGTAATGAATAAGAAAAAAGCAACCAAATTACATTTACATACGCGAGCACACAATCTTCCTTGTTACAGTTCATGGACATCTCACCATCCCTGCTAACTGAGAAACATCCATAAAGAAAGCCAGAGCAGCTGCCAAGACACCAGTGACAACAGTACTCTTTACAGGGACCTGGGTTCCTCTATTGATTTCTGAAAAGAAAGGAGGCAGCAATCCATCTCTAGCCATTGCCATAAAGATTCGTGGCTGTAAAGAACAAACTTACATTAGAAGAACCATTTGTAAGATGCAACAGATAATTCAGAAAACAGTGTCCACATGTCATACATCTACATAACAGGCCAAACCATCCCAAACCACTGCCGTAAAGATTTGTAGCTAACACTAGTAGATACACGGAGCTTTCAACTGCTTTTTTGGCTTTTCCGCAGGACAAGTTTCCTTGGCCATAACTTGCAATAGAGAGCAACTTCTTCCAAAAAATGAACTTCCACAAGCATACAATTTACGTTTCTTTCAAATAGCAATCACGTATATTTCCTTACACTCTATAATAAATTTTCTTCTGTTTGGAAAAACTCTTACATATGTTAAAGTGATCATTTAACCATTCAACACAGCAATGTAAGATTCCAAAAAATTTTCTTCAGATTGAATGCAATCAAGACATGAAATAGGTAAACTGAAATGCAATAAGAAAGTTAATAAGATCATGAAAATTCACAACCAAAATAAAAATCAAATCAACAGCACAGACTTATGTACCTGGGGAAGAATTGAACCTAACAAACTGGCAAAGAGAGCAGTGACTGCACCAGTTGTTATTATGTAACTGCAATGGGTTAAATAGAGCTTGAAACATAGTAACCAGAAGGACATTTGCGATTTTAAAGGAACTCAGAAATGAGACAGTAAGCCTCTCGCAAACCTTACACTGCCCATTGCATTCCATGTTCCGAAAATGCTGAGGAAATAGGAGTATCAGGATCCAAATCATAGTATGGCACCAAGCCAACAATTACAGCTGATACAAGCATATACAACATGCAACATATGGATAATGCAATTGCTATACCCAGGGGCAAATCTCGTTGAGGATTTTTCACCTGCAAGACAAAGAAACAGGAGATAAAAGGAGAGTCTTTGAAGAACAAGTTTGATTGCCACTGACATCCCCACTTCATGATGCTATGTGCTAAACTATCCGGAGATTTAAGAATGGCAATGGTACATAAACGTGCCATAGAAGACTTCTCTAGATGCATTTACTCTCATATCGTTTCTTCTTTCTGAGCAAGTCAAAACTACCGAGTCAGAATTTAAATATTAATCATTATAGATGAAAAACTAGAGAGTGCCAGTCATCAGTGTCACTTGGAACACACTGCAGCTATAATGAATGCTCCATTCTCGCAATGATACTAGTCAGAATGATAAGGTCTCATTAAGAGTTGAAATTGACAAAAACAAAAGGCGATGTGCAACAATGCCTTTTAGTTTCTGCCATAACAAGGAGACATCAGTTGATTATAAATCCCCCAAGAGAAGATGTACCTCCTCAGCTGTGCTGGTCACTGAATCAAAACCAATGTATGAAAAGAAAACAATTGCTGCCCCAGAGAACACACCATTTAATCCAAATGGGAAATACCTAAGATATAGCAAAGCACAATATCAGCGGCACCATTACGTCGGTATTCTATAGACAATGAGCAAAGTCAAAAGAATTTAACCCATTACCCATTGGCAAGCTTATATCCATCCCATTGGTTTTTGAAACCAAGATAACCACCTGCTATGATGATGAAGAGCAGGACACATACATTTATTGTTGTCACAATGAATTGTGCAGTTGAACTCTGAAACATATGATATATATGGGTACGTAAACTGGAAGGCAGAACAATGAGAAGCATTACATCTAGTAATTTAGGAGAGAATTACCTCTTTGATTCCAGTGCACAATAGTAAGGTAACAAGAAGAATTAAAACAGCAGCACATGGGTCAACCACAATTCCAAAACCTGGGATGGTATGACGAGCCAAAATAAAAGGCAGATTATCCTCACCCCCAAAAAACAAAGCCTGAAATATGCAAGATATAAATTCAAATAAAATGAAATTGTTGAAGTTTCTCTTATCCTTCAAAATAAACAACGGTGGTACTTATGAAGAAGCAAGTTTTTGGAAGCCAGGAAGGCTGCCAAATGTACATGTTACCATTACAATTTAGAATCTGATATGGGTTCTGTAAATGTAATAAATATACATTAAATTAATCACACACACAGAAAGTACAGAAAAGGGAACAGATACCGCACCATATTTGGAGTTATGCCACGAGCAACAGCTGAACCACCGATTGTGTACTCCAGAATCAGGGCCCAGCCAACAAACCAAGCAACCCTAAAATCAGTGGAAATGTTTAATCATGAATATACTGGCTATAAACGAAGGACGGTGACATGTCATGCCTCCTTTTAAGTCTAAATTGAAGTGGTTTATGAAAGTTAAGAGCGCCAAATCAGAGCATTGAAACTTAAGATAAAATTAAGGGACAAAAAGTTTTTTTCCCCCTGCCCTTCTAAAATAACACTATAAATATTTTAATAATCATACTCCAGAAGATGCAGTTTGCAGTGTGTTAATCATTCTATCAAAGTTCCTAATGCAGCAGAAGGATTCTCCAACTTATATGAGCAACACCTTTGATAAACAACTATTTCTTGATTGGTATTTATTAATACATACAAAAGTTTACCCTAAAAAATCTACAATATAGTGACTTACCCTTCTCCAATGCATATGTATGTATAGTGGTAAGCACTCCCAGCAGATGGGCATCGACAAGCTAGCTCAGCATAGCAAAGAGCTGAAAGTGCAGCAGCTATTCCAGCAATCAAAATTGATATTGTAAGTGCCGGTCCTGCATGTTGTCTAGCAACAGTTCCAACCAGAATGTACACTCCGGCCCCTATGGTTGCTCCAACTCCTGATTTTCAAGGACGGTGACTTTTCAATATGTAAATACTTCATAAAAAGAAAACACTTAACGGAAAAACATGAAGACTCAATCAAAACTTGACATCCGTGACATTGTGGTAAACAGGTGCACAGTTTCCCGCAGGCAACATAAGAAACTTAACCGAGAAATCGAGAATTATTTTCTTTTAAGGGAAAAATCTTCTAAATGAATAAACCATCCAGGCACAGCTACTTTTACGCCCGCAATACTTCGTCTTGATTGGCAGAAAAAAGAAGTGCACATCATCAAAGACTCAAGTGGTCGAAATTACTGTTTTTTTCACTTAGTTGATAATTCCTTCCTGAATAAAAGAAAAGAACCAAACACAACAGATACAGTTCTTATTTCAGTTTACCAATTCCAACGAGGTCGACGGCAGATAATTTCCTGGCCAATCGTTGACCTTCTCGCCTTGCAAGCGCAGAATCAACCTGCTTTCTCCTTACCCAACTTCTAACTTCCCGTAACCATCTTCCTTCTCCAATCCCGCCATTACCCTCAGTGCTTTGCTGGTTAACTAACATCTTCCAAAACGAGTGTTGCCGGTGTTTCGATTAAATATCCTCGGCAAGAACTGGACTTTGAGCTAAGAAATTTCTCTGAAATTACAAGGCTGAATAACCGAAACCCACTAAAATCTATTAGGCTCGTTTCTCTCGATGCGATTTTACACTGCCTGAGAAGGCGCTATACAAGCCCAATATTTTAATTATTGTTATTTTTCCCTCCAACGGCTTAGTCGAAACTCAGTAGCTTGATTTTCAGGCGACACTCCCGGATAGAACAAGAATTTTAGAAGTTCCCGTTATGCAATAGCTGTCGTGCACAAATTACATTAGCATTCTCGTATTGTTGCCGTAACACACACAGTGAATTAAGGATACTGATTGATTAAAGGTGATAATTCTAACTCGTGACAATTAATAACCATAGAAATTCTTTATTTATTGATACTACATTAAGACCGAATTAACTAGTATTATTTTCGGTCCTAATTATAAAATCTTATTTGTAATTTATAAACAAATCTTATAATTAGGACCAGAGATAATATATTAAAAATATTAATTAAATTAATTAATATGATATGTTATTTTTAAAATATCTTAATATTTTTTGGTAATCCTTTTCTTTCCTCCCATGCTTGATTATTATTAAAAAAAATATAAAAATAATTAATTAAAAAAATTGATGTACATGTAAAATATGCCTTAATATTTCAAATTAGCTCAGTATATTTTTTGGGCGAAAAGTTCATCATATTAAGCCTAACAAAGAAACTATGCGATAAATTTTAAATTTTATGCTGGTTTTTTCTCTGCCAGAAAAATTGTACACTAGTTGAATTTAATATTTATTTAAATTTTTCGTAAGTATAATTCAAATTAGTTCCGTTGCAAATACTCACACGGTACCTCCCATTAATAAATAGAAGATTTTGGATTAAATTATTTATAACTGTATAAGTTTATGCGCTTGTGATAGCTCATAAATACATTTAATTTTTGACTAACAATTGATCTGGTTAAATTATTTCTTCATATAAATAAAAGTACCCATATAATTTTTTTGCCAGCTGTATAATTAGTATTAATTCTGGCGAAAAAGAAAAGTAATTATAATTAACAGGCCAGCTTATTGAAACAAACCAATTAATCCAAAACCAAAAATATAAAAGCATTTTAATAACTAAAGTGTATTCATATCTGGACATAATAAATTCTACCCATGCACCCCATATAGCCATACCTAATGCGTTTAAATTACTTTGATGAAAATTCTAATTCTACAAAACATTCCAAATGCATGTGAAAATGTCGACGGCCAATTTCAATAAGGTTTACTTTTCTGCGCCTAGAATAGTTTTCAAAACGTTTTCCACCCAAATCTTGAAATGGGGTCCACTGCCAACGCGGAAAACATTATCCAGATAATCAAATCTGTCCCGTAGTTGGATGGCTCAATGGATTGAAAGCGCCCTTTCAGACGCACAAGCCTCCATTTGGGGCCCGCTAACCTCTGCATGTCGCGTCCCCACGTACGTTCCAAGAGATCTTATTTTGGCAATCTTTTTACCAGTAACATTTTCGTCTTTATTTTCCTTTATATGTGAGAAAAAGAAAGGAAAAACTATTTTGGAAGGACCAATTTTTTTTTTCAATTTTCAATTTAATATTTTCTCTTAATTAAATGTTTAATTTTGTTCTATTAATATTGTTAACCTTTATATAGAGACTAATAATCCTAATCGAACAAAGTTATAAGAACTAATATTGTCAAGGGAAAAAGCAAATGAACACCAAATTAAAAAGTGAAAAAAAAAATATACACATCCCTCCAATATAGTTTTCCCAAAAAAAAAACGTAACTATTGGGGAAACAAATTTTTGTCCAAAAACTACACTCCTAATGACACACCAAACTTGCGTATGGCGTGGCGAATGAGGATTTTCAAACACCCCCAACATATGTCGTAATGGAAGAGGTTTTGAAGACAGTTTCAACATAATTGCGCATAAAGCTAAATAATAATCTATGGCCACAACAGCAAAAACCTTTAACTAAAAACACAACTCTGATGAGCAAAACGTAGTCCTCGTGATAAAGTTGCCTTACAATCTGCCACATACAATGTTACAATGTTACTGCTCACCACTTCATCCTCGTCAAATCATATATATTAGTGTTAAACTCAGTGTTTAAAACAAGCATTTATAACAAATGTTACAACGGGGGCACGGTGGCAATATTTTAGCCTCCTTTCTTTTCATTGTTATGTTTTCATCCCCAACCCCAGTCTGCCCCTTGGCCTTGCAGGGTGTTTAATGACCACTCGTGTCTGATCCTCTTCGTCATGAAGCTTCTTCACCTGGACTCCTATTGTTATTGTTAACACCATCAGAAAGCTGAACCCATAAATTTTGACTTCGTTCGACTCCATTTGTATCACAGCCATCAGAAAACTGGGCCCACACACTACATTTTCCCTCTCCACTAAATTCATCTTCGCACCCTGCCACTGTCTTTAGCAGTTCTGATTGCAACAATGGACAGTTCTCCTTAAGATACTCGAAACTATCAGATTGCATCACAGCTGCACCACACAAGAAAAGGAGAAATAACGAGAATCAACTAGTTATAGATCTGTGGATCACTAATAGATGCTTTCTTGATTTAACTAAGTCCAGAAAACAAACAGATCTATAAATGAAATTCAAATATTCAAATTCATTTGATGTTATAGGCAACAAAAGTCAATATGAATGCAAAACCTAATGACAGTAAATGCAAGGCAAATGTGCAAGCATAGCATAAACTTAGCTAGGTTTTATGACAATCCTACGAAGAGCATGCAATGCCACTGCATAAGAATATGGAGTATTCAGCGCACTCAATTCATGAGTCAATGGAAGAGGGGGGAAAAAAGTAAGAGCATAGACCCTCTAGCCACGCATAAGAATACGGAGTATTCAGCGCACTCAATTCATGAGTCAATGGAAGAGGGGGAAAAGTAAGAGCATAAAGCCTCTAGCCACGCCTTGCTCCCAGTTTTCCATTCAATTCATCAAATTCATAAGTAGGCACATAATATTTCCTTAAGTTTTTAGAAAATGCCTGAAACACACCAGTTACATATATCACTTTAAGAGCCAAGGCAGAAGGAAAAAATATCAGTAAGTCTATCTCTACTTTTACTTCTTTCACTCCCCATTCCTTTATACCATGAACAGCAAATTTTGGAAAACATCAAGTCTTAATTTTCTGGGAAACCAACAGGCGTGACTTCACCAAATCTGCTAGTGGCAATGAGTAATTTTGCTTCGAGTTGATAAACATGTCACTATGCAATTAACTTTCTATGTTCTCTTTCCTTTTTCTTTTCTTTTTTTTTTTGGGGGGGGGGGTGTAACGAGATTGTCAATGCATAGCTGGCAAATTATAGTTCATCCTGACTCCAGATAAGGGTCTATCCTATCCTGCAAGCATCTAAATACCAAAAAATAAGGACAAAACATGAGATAATAAAAATAAGGAGAACTATCCATCCAATTGGCCTCATTGTCAAGGAAAATCTTCAAACCAAGCTGATTTCTAGAACACCAGCAACCGGCAATAAAACATAGGACGAGGGGAATAGTGCGTGCAAAGTATGGAGAATATGACCAAGTGTGCCCAGAGTTCGCAAATGCACTTCACAAGAAACATAATTATAAATTATAAATACTACAATATAAAGTCGTTCAAGAAGAATATAAACTACAACAACATGCCAAGATATTATATGCTCAAAACTAGCCAAATACAGATTTTAAATCTAGCCTAGGGTTGGAAGGTTAAGCAGGAAGACTCACCAACAAGGTTCTCAGCAGCAAATTTTAGACAAATGGACTTCAGTTCTGTGGCATGATATTGATCAGCAAGGGCCAAAATACATGCAACAGAACTTATAGAAATGTCTTTGCAAAGTATGGACTCACACAACAGTTTGAGTCTTGGCAAGCCATACTTTTCTGCAGCAGCTAACAACTTTGCAGCAAATGTGTCAGATACTGATGAGAGTGAAGAATATGACATGAAGAGCTCTTCATCTTCTATAAGAGTATCTTTATAAATAAAATGAAGCAGTGCCTACACAACAATAGCGCTCAAGAAACATTAGAGAACCAATCAAAGGATATGCTGCACTAATGAATTTGTAAACAAGAAGAAGACAAAATAAATAGAAGAGAGATAGGAAAAGGCATTTTCAGGCATGCTTACCCGGAAAACCTTAGGTTCCATATCAGTAATAACAACTTCATGATCATCTTCCTCCATCTTATTGAAAAATTCTGTCTCAAATTTAGTAGAACGAGCAGCCAATACAAGCTTGTGTGCATGAAACTTTTCCCCAGAAACAGAGAATGTAATGTCTGATCCTTCCTCATTTTCTAATAGCATGCCAAAATGTGAACCAATATCAGACTCAGGGACATGTACTTTGTTTAATTTTGAACAATCTATGGATGAAACCACAACACCAACAGTACAATTTATCTTCAAGCAGTCATCTTTAAGGAAGGTCGACGCCTCCAGCTGAGCTCGTTTGAAAAAACGCTTATAGCCCCTGAGAGACAAAGGCCAGTAGCATATCAGTCATTTTGTAGAGTTATATCATATCTGTGACTTTGCAGAGTTAAGGTATATTAGAAGTTAAAAAATGAATGGAATTGTCAGTGAATGTGGAACATTTGGATGCACCGTGCCAGCCTTAGAAACAAACAGTAAAAACAGATCTCTACTAGCAACATAACAGATTCCTGTATGCACGCCCAACAGTTAAAATGGCAACTCTACGGTCTATGGCCAAAATTGGAACAACACATCCCAGGGAAATTAACTACACGTCTAGAACATGCCTAATGTTGGCACGAAGAAATTCCAAAGAAATGATGACATATTGAGAAAAAATTGAGAATACATTCCTTCAAAAACCAGGAAAATCCAAAGGGCAATGAAAAAAGAAGCCATCTAGCAAGTACAGTTATCAATCTCCCTTGTTACTCAGAGATATATGGAAGAAATTCATTACTAAGCGACTTGTGTGACTTCCACGATCCCTTTTTAACGTTGCACACCCTTTTACACTTGTACAAAAAGCGAGGTGCATGACATGTCAATGAAGTTGAATAATTGCAATTATATGTGCCATATGATGCTTTGGTGTCAGTGTATTGACATGATGCATATTTACCATTTCCGAAGGAAGTAATCAGACCTCCAAATGGACAATTAAAAACTTACACGAAAGACAGCTCATAAAAATGTTGACTCCTCAAACACATCATCTAAAGCACTGCATATTTAACAGCAACTAGCAATTTCATCACCAATTTCCAAATATTCTTTCCAGCCAACAAAAAGACACGGTACCATACCAGGAAAATACAGCGTCCTGAGGAAAATAATCAAATTTGAAATCTCAATAGAAAAACTCACCACATGCTGCCCCTGTACTTGAGCGTATAAGGCCCACTTTCAAGCGATCGATCGAAGTGGCTATGAACTTTGTGCTTTCCATTGCCACTCTGGTCCACCAATGTCAGCTCAAACAGTGCTCGCACATCAGTACCCTCGCTCGCAAGCGCAATGAACACCGAAACGTACGTGGAATTATCCTCGGGATTCTTCCCGTCCGGATAGAAATAAATGGCCCACTGGAAACCTCCGACAGTGAAATTCTCGCTAGCTATGTGCTTACCAACGCCGATACCTTTGGCGAGAGAGTAGCCCTTGATTACAAAGTTATGCGAACCATTGACGGTCTCGGTCACCGAGCGGGAGCTAGTGGGCAAGACCAAAATGCTCCTATTCCTCCCCGGCGAATTCATGTCGTCCAATCTGAAATGACCAGGATCATAAAGCCACAACGGAATTGGATCCCTGGGCAGGCTAATGACGCTGCTGTTTCCGGATGTCTCTTCTTTTCCTTCAAAGCTTTATAATTGCTAGGAATTTCTTTCCTTTCCCGCAAACTTACCTGACGTTTACAATAAGGGCCTGTTTGGATACCCCAAAACCGTGGTTTCAGAATCACTTTTCCACAAAACGAGGTAACCTCCTCCACATATTTACTTCGTAATCCGTAAAAGCACTTTTGAAACCATGGTTTGGTTTCTATCCAAACACCCCCTAAGTTTATATAGGTCTCCCAGTGAATGTACGTGGCCAATTTGAATTTGATTTGATAGAAATGAGAAATAATGTCAGAATAAGAAATGCTAATATAAAATTATATACTACGTCCGATCATAATTATAAGAGTTAGTTGATTTATTAGAGGAGATTAAAAAAAAATTAAATTAGTTATTTATAATAAATAGGTATTGTCTTTCCTAAAATATCCTTGCTAATCAAATGTTTTGGCTAGAACTATCATTATTAAAAGAATTATCTTAGAAAAAATAGATAAATATGAGAGATAATATGGATTGAGGTTTTATAATTAGGACTGAAATAAAATTCAAATTAAGTTTTATATTAAGAACCGGACGTAATATTATTTACGTATTTACGTAAGTATCTTCCTCTGCCTGCCTGATATTAAATCTAATCATATGTTTTTCATGTTTTTCTCATTCAAATACATTAAATCTAAAGACATTTATTAAAAAAACATATTAAATTTTATGATCATTTAAAAATATTTATTTAGTAAATCATAAATAATGGCTGATGCTTGTTTTACTTTAACGTTTATTGATTTATTATACTTATTTAGTACATTTTTATGCGCATTTTACAGGATAAATTGTTGTAAAATTTTTTAGCTGACCCAGAAAATAAATTTATAACATATATTTCCACAAATAATATGGCTGTGGCATATCAGAAGGAAATCAATACTTTTAGGGTATGTTTGGCTCAATGAAAAGAAGAAAAGGGAATGGATTTTAATAGAGGAAAAGGAAAGAGAGGAGAGTGGAAAGATTTTAATATTATTTTGTTTGGATTTATTAAAAAAAAAGGGAAAGAGAGGAAAAAATATTTTAATATAGACAATTTTACTCTTATTTTATTTAAGATATAAACATAATAGTTACAACATGATAAAATATGAATATAATTGTCACAACATGACAAAATATATATGTAATGGTCACAACATGACAAAATTGCCTCTTCTCTCCAAATCCTCCCAATTTTGGAGAAGAGGTTGAGGAGGGGAGGGAACCTCCTAAAATTTGTGTGTTGCCAAATAAGAGAAAATGATTAAAGTTCTTCCCCTCCCCTCTCTTCTCTCCCAAATCCCTCATACCAAACACACCTCTAGGAAGCAAAATAAAACCTTACCCCCGTACTAGCTTCAGCAACGAAAAAAGGATTTGATGCTGTTAAGTCTAAGCACCCCCACCGCACCGGGGAAAAAAAAACCCAAAATGAAAAGGGGGGAAAAAAAAAGAAGGGAGGAGGGGCGAATGAATTTAACGTGAGCTGGTTTAGCCGCCTCTAAGGCAATTAGAATTGTTAGTGCTTGAGCCAAAACACTGATACCCTTTCCTTTTTCGGGACTAACTTAGAGACCAGTACCTAAAGACAGCACTTCAATTAAATGTAGAACTTCAATAATACAAAATGTATCAGCAAGCTTTAATAAAATGGCCGAAGCCCAAATTCCCTATTCTCATCCCCAGTGTCCTCATTCCAGCCAAAAGATGTAACAAAGAGAATTTAAGGTTTCGAAGAAGTGAGAAAGAAACCAAAAGGGCGCAGAAACCGGAAGGAAGAAATAACTTGCACTGAAATTCTGTGCGTCCTTAACCGCTACCAAGAATCAACCAATATGATGAGCACAAATTATACACGTTAGCTACAAAATGCCTCCCTGCAGCCGTATCAGCTGCCGGAAATAAAAGCAGTTACTTGGATTTCCTTTGCTCAGAGACCCTTTGGCCCATTATTTTACAAACAGGTTCGTCCTTTGACTGAAGAAGTTTTAATGCAGGGTGAACCTTGAGATCTCCCATAACAAACTTCTGTCCCACATCCAACTCACTCAAGTCCACATCGATGTATGGAGGGATAATATCTGCGGGGCACAGGTACTTGACAGTCCTTTTGATGGTATTCAAATAGGCACCTGCAAATTTGTGAAGTTGGAATTTCGTCTCAACCAAGTAAAGAAAAAAATGAGCTGAAAATTTGATGGCATAATCCCTATGTCCGGGAATATTAGAAGTCCAACTTATTTCATCTTGTGACTTAAGGAGTTTTAATCTTATAAATTTGTAATGCATCTTAAACCATGGGATATTTTTGTTGAACAAGATCTCATATCTCATCAATCAAATGTATAAACATGCAACCATCACTGATCACTGGTGAGGAGTGACGTAGGGTTTCATGACCAAGACATTCTGAAAATAATCAACTTAATCCCAGGCACCAAACTTGGAATCCATGGCTTAGAACCAATACAAAGAAAATGGCCTATCTGGCTTCATCCTTTAAGAAACGTGCAAATTGTTTGAGATCATTTCGAATAATTTTTCCCATTCCCTAAATATGCTGCAAATAATCCATGGGGCAAACTTCTTGCCAATGAGGGCGGTTTCAGGAGAGCTTCTTGTTATGGGAGGCTTAGACATGGTCAAAAGGATGGGAAAATAATAGGCAGATAGCAAAATAACCCCCCGGCCCCCGGGGGGGGGGAGTGAACAGAAGGCAGAGGGACTGTAGGTGAATAATGGAAGCACCAAAACCAAAGCCTAAACTGTGCCAGAGGACACTTCGACTGGCCTCTATAGCATTAAAATGACTCATTGTGAATAATGGAGATACACCGCTAATCTACGCAAATTCTAATCTAACATATTAAGAAAAATCATAACTAGAATTATCATGCTGGTGCAAGGAAAACATCTTAGAAATTCCATATACAAAACTAATGCTTGAGCCATAAACACAGGCACAACTTGACGTTTTCACAAAATTCATTTGCCTTTACCACCGTGGTTTAAACCCATAATTGAACCCCTACAGGCCAGTTTATCCAGCTAAATTACGGAGCTCAGATCCTTTCTTTCTTGTCTTGAGAAATGATGCAAAGATGAGAAAACAAGTAAACGCAGTAGGAAACCAAAAACATAACCACAAAACGTGTTCCATGAGGAGTTACCTTTCTTCAATCCAGGGGACACATCTTCTCCTCTGAATACAAGAGGAACGTTAACTTTCAACAAAGCATGTGATGGAGCCCTTATGAATGTGACATTTAACGGCTCATCGCTGCCTGCATGCAGGTGAAGCTGAAAAGTTTTTGAAGGATAGAGTAAAGAACAAGTCAGTAATTTCAAAGTGGATGCACAGTATACATACGTATTCATAAATGATTTAATGAAGAGAAAGATTCACTTATTTTCTCATGCTATACAAGCAAAAACAAAAAGTGAACAGATACTATCTACATGGGAAGAGGCTGATCCAAGGTTGACTTTCAAGAGAAAAGTAAACGAAATCCATTTCGAAGACAAACATAATACATAGCACTTGCGCCTATCGTCACAGATGCAACTAAATGCCTATAAGGTCACAGTGACTGCTCGACAAATTTGTCTCTCAGTACTCATCTTACAAGGGAAGGAAATAAAAATGCAGGAGTGAATACCCTATGATTAGGTCTCTGAAGAATGATGAATGCGAAAGTAATCATAGTTGAACAAAGAAATGCAACGACACTTCAAATAACAAATCATTCGCCAACGTCTATCTTCAATGTTGAGGAAAGCAAGCTCAACAAATCATTTACCATCCAATAATCCTTCAACTTCTAATTCCTCAAAAAGGCATTGATAAATATTGTTTCATTAAGAAATTCAAATTCAACGATTCGTACAGGAATATAGCTAGCCAATAAGTGACTCTAGAAAGTTACCAGCCGGGGCAAAACCCGAATCTTCTCTACAATATCTTCGGATTCGAACCCCGTCCGAACCTCCAGGTCAAAAAGTCTGGACAAAAAAAATGATCGACCTAGATGGGTGACGAGCTTTCGGATCTGATTAGTACGGACGGAAATGAGGCGCTTGTTGCCCCCGTGTTGGCCATCCTCTTGCTCAAAGACGATGCTAGGCACTCGCCCAGCCTTGCGCTCCTTGGCAGAAATGATACGTCCCGAGGCGGAGCGAGGTATAGCAAGGATCGCCTCAGCGTATCTGGGGTCGGGCCTCGGGAAACCTTCGAGATACGTGAATGGTGGGAGGTCAAGAGGCTCTTGGGGAGCGACGGCTGTGGCGGCTTGTGAGAAGTAACGGAGATGCGAGGCTTTGGTGAATATTCGCCGGCAAAGATACATAGTTTGCTACGCTTCACCGGACGACCAAGCCAGCGCGGGCTTAAGAGGGGTTTTGGAAATGAATTCGAGGGTTATCGCCGAGGTGGCTGCCTGGAGTCGAAAGTGGCGGATCAAATGGGCAGACAAAAAGTGGGGCCGAAGCGTAACGCAAACAAAGTGCCTGTTTGTTGCGGCATTTAAAATGTGTTTGGATGGAAATCAAATTATAATTTCAGAAGTGTTTTTATGATTTACGACATAAATATATAAAAAAATCTGTTTCGTTTTATGAAAAAATACTTCTGAGAAGCACTTTTGAAATTACCAAACACCCCCCTTAGAAAGCTAAAGGTATCTTAAAAATTTGATAGTTGTTTCTCACGATTTTAACATTTATAGGTTAAAAGTTATGTTCTTAAACATAATTATAAAAATATAAAAATATCTAAAACGACTTATATATAAATAATTTTTTAGAACTAAAAGACATTTTGTCCTTATATTTATATTGTTTTTATGTTTCTATGTGCATATTCTTTATACTTCCTAATTAGTTATTTATTTTTAATACTCTCTTAGGTAGAAATAATTTTTAACATAACTTTTATAATATTTTTAATTATCAATATTGTCTTTCATTTTATATTTGCGTAAATCTTGCATAATATATCATCCAATTAATTATATTAGTGTTATTTGATTTCGAAATTTTCACATTACTATAATTTTTAATTTAAATATATTTTTATTCATCACATATAACTTCTTCCAATTATAATAAATAAAAATTATTATACTTTGTAAATTTATATTTTTAATCACTTTTTATTATTTAATAAAATTCATATTTATTTTAATCATTCTACAAACTAAATTTACTTATCCAACTATAATCCAAACAACTTTTCTATTTTACAAATTAAATTTTATAAAAATTAATCCAAATATAAATCAGATGACCCAATCTAATTTTTAGCTAATCTTATTTTTTTAAAAGTTAGATTAAAATTTTTTTTTTGGGCCGTTCAAACAGCCCAAAATAAATTGGGAAGCTACACGGTATACACCCGCGATCTTGGATTCATTTTTTTGGGGCCTAGATTTACGTTATATAGTTCACCAGCCCTCCCATAAGCATTCCACATCTAGGCTATCGCCCTCCAACCCACTTCTATTGGGTCTGCGGTTGTTGGGCCTACACCCAATTTAATAGTCGTAAAAGTAAAACGATTTATTTTATTAAAAAAAAGTAAAAAAAAAATTATATTCTGTTGATCCTAAATATAATATTATTTTTATAATGTAAATTATACGATAAAAAAGATTTTATATTTAAAATTAGAAGAGTAATATAATAAAAGATTAAGATGATCTAACATCTTGAGATATTCTGTAACGTATCCAGCACTCTAAAATATTTTTTTTATATTTTTATGTTGAATATATCAAAAAATATTTTTGGGTACTAAACGTACAAAAAAATATTTTGAAATGCTGGATGCACTAAAAAATATTTTAAGGTGTTGGATATACTATAAAATATTTTAAGGTGCTAGATGTACCCAAAAAATATTTCAGAATACTGAATATACGTTACCTCTGTAATAAAAGGGTTAATATAATTTTCCCTCTCAAATATGCCTTTATTTTTTTTTTTTCAAGTTTCAAATTATAGATTTTAGTCTTTTATAAAATAATTCAAATTTTTGCTAAATTATAACTATCAATTTTTTAAATAAAAAAATTTGAGGGATTTAAAAATTTAAAAAATCAAAATTAAAATAAGCACACATTTTATGGAGTGAAAATTGTATTAAAACTCTAAAACTGTTGCACATTTAAAAAGATAATTAAAACAACGAGGCCACAGATGAAAAATAAAGATCCGAGCCATGGGCCATGAATGTGCCAAATTTTGAGAATTGCATTCTGAACTGGAAAATCCCAGAAAAAGCGCGCCGCTATACGATCAATCAATCTACACCTGAAATGTGCTGGCAAAAAAAAAAATTTACACCTGAAATGGAAAGGTAGAGTGGGGATTTCTTCCGTTCCCAGTACTTGAGCCCTTCTGACCTGAAAATTATGGCGAATAACTCAGTTGTCGGGACAAAAATGGAAAGTTGCTGACCTAAAAATTATAGGGATTGTAAAGGCAACGACTCTGATGGTGGACGGGGAACCCGTTTCAAAATCCTGCAAGTTCAATGAAGAAGAGGAAGGCGACAAAAGACCTCTACTCCTTCAATGCGCAGAACTCATCCTCCCATGGCTAACCCCTTTGGAGCTTGCCAATGTCTCTTTGACCTGCAAAGCCTTTTCCTTTATTTCCAAGACCATCATCCTCCGCCGCGTATCTGATTCGTCAAGAGGGTTCGAGAATTTGCCTATAACATTTCGCAACACCGTTGATGATACGCCATACTCTTTCTTCATCTACACTCCTTCCCTAATTCTACCTTCTGATTCGCAATTTCTTCGTCAATCCTGGGGTTCGAATTTTGCTGCCACCCGTGACTGGTTTGGTAAGCTTGCTATGGAATCAGTGAGGTTAGTTGATGAAGAGGGTCAGAGTGTATCCGGATGTGACTGTGACACTTGTGGGGATGCTGGGGATGAAGACGACAGGTGTCCTTGTTCGAGGTTGGCTGGGTTGGATGTGGCCAACGAGTGCGGACCGCGTTGTAAGTGCGGGATGCAGTGTGGAAATCGGTTGAGTCAGAAGGGGATTTCAGTTCGGTTGAAAATCGTGAGGGATAGGAGGAAAGGATGGGGTTTGTTCGCTGACCAATTGATACGGAAAGGCCAGTTCGTATGTGAATATGCAGGTATATATTACTGCAAGTTTGTTTGCCTTATTCGGTTAATTTGAATGAAATTTATTTACATTTATTTATTCCATTTGGTTGAAACGAAAGAGACGTCACCGGACAAAGTAAATGGTTATCCACAATCTAGTGTGTTGCGTGGCTACCTTAGGTTAACCACCTGGAGAAGATTGCTAGGGAATTACAAAAGGAGGCACAAAATAATGTGACCATCTCCTTCCGAATGCTGTTTCAGCAGATGATTCTGGCACTGGTGTTGGCAATAGAATTTCTTACATAGATAAATTCTCTTAGAATAGAGAAGTGCAATATCCAAACTTTCCCATTATGTGTTAGATATATGTACATCAGAAGAAAGTTTGTGTGAAGATTGATAGAAACTAATTTCTTGAGTCTGCTAAGGTGAACTGATTGAAATATCTTCTGCTTGTGGGTCCATGCATGGCTTTTTTTATCTGCATGTAAGATTGATGTTTGGATTCCTGTTATATAAAGGTGAACTCTTGACAACCAAGGAAGCGAGGAGGAGACATCGGTGTTATGATGAGCTTTCATCACGAGGTCAGTTTTCTTCTGCTCTTTTGGTTGTGAGGGAGCATCTGCCATCTGGAAGGGCTTGTCTGAGGATGAATATTGATGCCACAAGAATAGGAAATGTGGCACGGTTCATTAATCATTCTTGTGATGGTGGTAATTTAAGCACAAAACTAGTGAGAAGGTCGGGAGCTTTATTTCCTCGACTTTGTTTCTTTGCTGTAGAAGATATAGAAAAAGATGTAGAGCTTACTTTTAGCTATGGAGAAATCAGGACAAGGCCTATGGGTTTGCCATGTTTTTGTGGTAGCTCTTCTTGCTTTGGAACATTGCCCTCAGAAGACACTTAAGACGGGATTTGCCAATACGACTTTCATCCTTTCATACCCCACCCCTGCTATTCAATTTGAAACTAAGCTTTGTCTTAGAAATTACAATTAGCTTTGCAGTTTATACTTCATACCGTTGAACTCCTACGAAAGTTTGCTGTAATATATGTTCTGGTGCTATGTACGCTTTTATTACATGGAGAGACAATCACAAGCATTTCAGAAGTGCTTGCACATTAATGGTGAAGGATGTCATTGTTAAAGACGAGTGTCGTTCATCATCTTCGTCCCGATGAGACAAGAGAGAGAACTGAGGAGGCTAGAAAGGAAGTGGAGTCTCTGTTGAAGGAATTCAAAATGAAAACTGGTCGAGGCCCTTCTATATCCGGATAAGCCGAACTAACATAGCATTCCTGGTGTTTTGTTGTTCTGTGTGCCATGACAAGTGATGAAGTCTGAATGGGATACATGAACCTGTGGCTTACAGTGAAACTAATATACAAAAATGTGATTGACACTAATGGAAGGTGAGTCGTCGAGGTTCAAAAGGAGAGCCTGGAGATCCCTCACTGCTTTGAGATTCCCCTCGCCAAGCATCCTGAACTTGAGCAGCAAACTGCAAATTCCACAAAACATCCTCGATGGAAGGCCTTTCCACTGGATCTTTGGCAAGGCACCTTGCGCAAATCTCCATCATCGTCTTCAACGATTGGTCCAAGCATGACTTGCGAACTCCTGCATCTACAATGCTCCTTCTAGCTTCTTCATCACCTATTATGCTCGCTTGAAACTGCCAAGAGATCCAGATAATTGCAGTTCACTTTGATGTGTTAGAAATCTCAGTCTAATATGACCGTTGGGTCAGTATGACAGAATCGAAATTGTTTTCTTTTGTATCATCCTAAATTTCCGTCTCCATCTTGCGCATTGATTAGATTTTATGATTAGGATTTTTTTTTATTTTCCCTTGATTGTAATCGGATTGCATGGGTAGTCCGCCTCCTATAAATGTATCGTCTCCAATGGAACAAGATACGCAAGCTTTTCTGTTTTGGCAGGATGAAGATTTTAATTAATATGCTCTCAAATTCTGGAGGCTGATACATTCAGTAATAGATCAATAATGCATTACACACATTTGGCATAGCTATATTTATATTTTTCTTGCTTTTACCGTGTGGGCATTCCTTTAATTATCATTTTTTATACAGTTCTGTCTATTGCAAGCTTAAACATTTCTTATATTTCTAAGTGATGAGACTGACATTCTGACTTAAGAAATCAGAGTCATCCTCGTGATGCCAAATCTCTGTATCTATGAGCAACGAATCATTTAAAATTTCAAGAAGCGAATCTGAAAAGGTACGAACTGGTGAAAAGACAATGTGTTATTACCAGAACCCTCAAGCCATCCGCTTCATTCCTTGACTTCGCTGCCCTTCCCAGAATCATTTCCTGTAGTATTGCTCCAAAGTCGTATATATCTGACTTATCTTCATGTTTTGCACTGCAAAGCAGTAGAGTTCATCCGTTAGAAATTACTTTATAGAACTGCAGCGCAGGTATTTTTTTCATATGAAACCTTCCCATATTATGTGGTACAGTGTCAGTCTTCATTTTCATCAAGTGCCGTGTTTGTTATTGATTATTTAGTCACTTTTACTCAAAAGCAGACTAAATTGATTTCTATAGGGGACCTTTCATTAACGCTAGGATTTTTGGAGCCGCTGGAGGAAGTTCCGTGCTCAACCTGCAAAAGTAAGCTTGGCTGAGAATCAATTGAAGCCATCTTCCAAGATCATACTTGTAGGGAAAACATGAGTTTTTCCTCCCTTTTTCTAGAAACACAATGATTTTCTTCATACCTTTCCCATGTCTGATAAAAAGGGCAGGTTATAACTGCAGATTTTTGCACCAAGATTCTGATCCATTAAAACATCTGTTGTTTTGAGATTGTTTGAATATACACCAGGGATAATACCAGTATGTAGATACTGAATGCCCTTTGCTACTCCAATTGCAGCTCCTATGCGTTGAGTCCAACCAAGTGATTTTTTTGAGCGCCTATCTGCCGAATAACATGTAAACCCATCGTGATCAATTATCGCACCAGTATAAAGAATGGAAAGTCGAAAATCAGGACAGAAAAAAATCAAGACTAAAAAGCCTACAATTGTAAATTCATGATGGAGTGGCATCATAATTGATGTTTCAATGAATTACCTGAGATCCAGCTCCTTAGTGTGCCATTTGGAACGTATTCGAAGACAAGAAATATTCTGCTGACAGTTGAATCTTCTAAATAATATTCAAAGCAGTGTCCTAGGGCACAGACTAGATGGCGATGCCTGAGTTGTGATATCAGTTCTATGTGGTGCATAAAGTAATGAATGCTGTATCTTTTTTTCATTTTCACGCATCTTATAGCAACAAGAATACCATGCCTCAGCCGGCCTCTGTACATCTGACCATACAAGAATGAGACATTACTTGATAAAATACCATAGACCAAAGAAAAAACAAAGAAAAAGAAGATTTGAGCTTGATTTTGCTTGAATAATCAGTTATATATAAGCCGGGAGCCAGTGACATGTACATAAAGAAATTTTTTTCATATGCACTAGTATGGGGGGGGGGGGAATCACAAAGAGGCCTTTATTTAAAGGAAATGCCGACTCTTCATAGATCTCAGCTAAAATCAAAGTACCTGTCCCTGAGAACTTTCACCCATGAAAGAAGATGTATCAAAATTGTTTGTCGCTACCACAATCTCTTCCAGAGAGAAAGTTCGATAACCTGGCAGGCCAACTGTTGCCAACTTCATTGTTTGAGATATGTACCCTTTAGGTTCAGGAAAAAGAAATGGTCACACAATGTATCTTAAATGTGGAAGGATAAAGATGAAAGTATTTATGTATTGCAGAGTCTAATTTATAAGCTAATTCTGATTACTCTTTCAGTTGCAATCAATCAGACGTCAAATTGTTGGGTTGAATTCACAAGAGAGAGAAATAGACTTACTTGCGTCAGAAAGATGCTTAGATGAGTATGTGGGAGTTGCACTCTCTAATATTAATCTTGTCGGGGAATTCTTAATGTTGCTTTTGACATTTCCTCTTCTACTAATGGAGAAAACCAAGGCAACAAATGCTGCTACTCCAAGAATGCCGCCCACTATCCCAAGAGAAAGGCCAACCTTAGATTGATCCTTGTGTTTCTTGCTCTCAGGTAATATTCCCACTGCTAGGGCTTCAGTATGACAAAAGGGGAGTAAGTGCTGATTTTGATTGATATCTTGCAGACAATTTCTAGCATAAAGGACAGTCTTATCATTGTTTTTTGACTGCAAACATCCAGGTAAGCTTCCAGTCAACAGATTCGAGGAAAGATCCACAACTTGGAGTTCAGAACTGCAAGTTAGATTTTCAAAAAGCATTCCAGTGAGTTGGTTTCCAGAAATGTTGAGATATATGATAGATGGAAGAGATAACAATGCAGGGTGGAATGGCCCCACAAATGAGTTTGATGAGATATCAAATCTCTCAAGCTGATGAAACGTGGTCACTTCAGCGGGGACACTGGATCTGAAACTATTGTTTCTTAGAACTAGAGTAACCAACTTGGTGCCAAGTCGAGGAAACTGAGGTCCAAAAGCATTATCATCCAATTCCAGCACTTGAAGATTAGTCAAATGTCTTAAATCGGGTACTGCTCCATAAAAGTGATTATGAGAAAGTGAAAGAATTCTCAAATTTTCCAAGCTACCCAAAGAATCAGGTACAGATCCATTGAACAGATTGTTTTTCAGACTTAACACTGTCAAGGCTGGAAGAGAATCAATCCAATCTGGAAGCTTCCCAGAAAACATGTTGTCATCAAGGATGAGTGTTTGAAGATTTGACAGTAATGAAAGCTCCTGAGGGATGACACCATATAGAAAATTTGAACTCATATTAACTATTTCCAGTGATGACAATCGAGCAATCTTACCCGGAAGTGGACCCCAGATGCCAAGAGAAACCAGTGTGAGGACTTTCAAATGAGGAAGCCTGGCTAGTGTTGCGACAAAGGATTCTGTTGAGAAATTTTTAGGAAGTGGCGAAGCTCTCTTTTCACCTATTATATGAAGCTGCGTGATGGTATCTTCATAGCATACGACAGTAAGAGAAGAATCTGAGTCAGGGCTGCAGAAGTCTGTGCTGCTATTCCAGCTACTTAAAGCAGAAGGAAAGTTCAAAAGCCGTTTGATTCTTAGAAGAGTCTGAGGCTGTGAAGATTGCAGTTGCTCTGAGTGATTGAAAGAAAGTAGAAGTGTCACAAAAATCAAAAGCTTCGAGGGATAGAATTTTTCTGCCATTAGTAAAGGGTATGCAGGAAATGAACTGGAGTTCCGTGGTACTCTTGAAAGTGCTTGAGAAAATATATACTCAAGATCACATATACTCTCAGAATTGAAGCTTAGTTTCCCAAGATCATGAGCAGAAACCCTGCAATTTAGTAAGGCGGGTTAAGTTTAATGAAGGAGTAATCTTGAGTTAATCCGAGGCCAAAAGTCTCCAAGGTTGATGACTGGCTCAAAGAGATGCCATGCGTCATGGAAAACCAACAAGATATCTGGTCAGAAAGTTATAATTACCTCAACAGAGTGGATGAACAAATTGGTTTGGGTGCTGAGCTCAAAAATGGTTCTTCCCAGCTTGTGAAGCCTTAGAGTACGGTGTTTTCTTTCTTATCGCAAGCCAACTCCATCTCCTAACTTAAGCATGCCTTCCCCCGCCCCCTTGAAGTACAGTGGGTAAGTAGAAAAAATAACCCAGATTTAAAAAAAGTCAAAATTATGACATGTCTCTTTGTGCTCCTGTTTATAAGTCGAAGAAGAAGAACCACAATCAAACAACCTACGTATACCAAGTCCCGAAATCAAAGAAACAAGTTTCCCAGGTGTCAGCTCTTGAGGGGTTGGAAGAAAATGAAAGGGCCAAGAGGCACACACTGGATTATCTCACAAACCGACATTTCACCATTGCCAGTCAGAAAAGTCTGGCGAACCTGGTCATCCATGAATTTCCCGGGACATTGATTTGCTTTGCAGAGGACATAGCTTCTGTGGGGAAAGAAAAAGGAAGATTCGAGAGGGATGGAGACCCTTTATTCCTCGACATGATATCTTTGACATGAACATGTGGAGTCCAGCAGCAGATATTGTTAATGAGCTTACTTTGTCACTTTATTTCTTTTTCATGATCTCGAAAGAAACCAACAGGAAGTGGGTTTGGCTCAGAGAGTTAGACTGTAAACAACTAAACATAGACTATCGCTTTCTGGGATCATCAAGCCATATCTTTCTGTCGCTTGGCTTTAAGGGATGGCCCCTCATTTTATATTTCTTGCCTTTGGCTCCCTTCTTTTTCTCTTTCGTTTGCCATTAATAGAATCATTTATGTGTTTATTCTCACCTGAAGAGCAGATAAATCGGCATGATCAGATGATGAACAAGTAGTTTCCAGCCTTCCACAAAATATAGTTCTTCCAAACAATGGCTATAAATTATGAAGCACATCGTTTACTTCCCAACAACTCAACAATTTTCTCCATGGTACGATTGGAGCATCATTGTAATAATGCAATATAATGATTCAAACTTGGTTAGCCTCTGTTAGGGACGTTGTGCTTATACACTATAGATTAATGCAAAACATATCACGTTCTGCTATTGCACTTTTTCTCTCAGAGATCAGTTAAAAGATTAAATTATGTTATTAATCATCATGCACTCAATTCTCTCGGTGACTTTAGGGCGAATGGAGACTACTACAACTTCGGAATCGTCATGCAACTACGCTATACTCTGTTTTTTTTTTGGTAAGTTCAAATTGCGTATTTAAAATAAAAATTACAACTTGCCAAAAATCTGAGCACGTTGGATGCTTTTCTTTCGCCTGTCCTTGTTCTTGTTCTTTTCCTTTGTCTCGCTTCTATCTTTTTAGACACTATCATATGTTATTAGTCTAATCACGATAAATGTGCAACCAAATTTGACCAGATTATTTTTCTGCATTAGGTTAGACCCAAAAGAAAAGTAGGGATTATTGTTGTCGGCGCTGGTTTGATGAAGAAGCGTCATTCCTGATAGACCCATTTCTGGGGAAATTTAACAGTGAAACCATAGTTTGATTTGAACAAAACAGTTTTTTATGCGCAGTTCAGCTATTACAGTTTTCAAGTTTATTTCATGCAAATATGGATTATGATGCACTCAAAAATTGTTTAAAGGGGTCATGACCCACCAAAAGTGGAACCAGAATCATGACAATCTCAATCAACAGAGTAAGCGAAGCTACTAAACTCGAATATTTTAAAATAAGTAATTAAAAAATAAGAATAAAGAAAAGAAAAGTAACGATAAAGAGAACAAATGGAGAGTTCTATTACGCAGAAAAGAATGTGAGGAAGATGCGGTTGGACATTGTCGGCTTCGTTTCTTTTTGGCATTTGCCTTTAAAAGAGTGAATAATTTTCCAAGGAATTTTCATAGGTTCAAAATTCAAACCCTCCATCAATGGAAATTCATTTTGATATGATTCCCATGGATTTAAAACTCCATGCCGGCGTTATTTTATTAATATCGCCATTCGCCACAGCCCACAGTCATGCACTCTTGTGACCTGAGGTAGATCGAAATACAATCACCTAAACTTCTTTTGCATCAAAAAATAAATAAATACATCATAGAAAAACAGGATGAGAAAATATTTTACCTTGACTCATCATGATAGCGAGTGTTATTTGATTGTTTCAATCATAATTGCAATATAAAATATTGATATCAATAATAATTAAAAAAAATTATAAAATTTACAGGTCGAGTTTCCGTAGAATTTTTGTCTTTTTAAAAAAATAAACATCAAACAACCAGTTTGATATGAACCCAAAAGACGAACACGCAAAACAGAGAACATATGGCCCAATTTTAGAACTCATATACATTGGGCCTCACGTTGCAAACATCATCACTTCTTCAGCCTTGAAAATAACATGGGCTCCTACAGTGGGCATCCACTTAATGGGCCGAATAAGAAGCCCGATAGGAGCCCCTGTGATGTTGGCGTACTGTGGCTCTATCAACCAATAGGTATTGGGTTCAATGAAACGGGTTAATCTTTCACAACGTGACGAATCAATATTTAAATTCTTACTGAGAGAGGTGTTCATATTTAGTGCTTGACAATACCTTGAATAAGATTGCTTTCAATAGAAGGATACCTATACTTTAGCAAAAAAAAATATAGCTCTGTTTGAATTTCTTATCATTTTTTTTTCATTAAGTGGTTCTCATATATAATAAAATACAGCTATCCAGTTCCTTAAAATATATCTTTTTTTTATTTAATCTTCAATCTGAAAATTATAATTTTTTTAATAAGCATGCCAAATGCAGAATTCATTTAAAAAAAACACCGTCAATGTCAATTTTGTATAGTTTTAATGTAAATGTTCCATAATTATTTCCGATGCTCTGACTATAATAAAGATATAAAAATTGTTTATAAAAAAAATAAAGATATAAAAATATAAGTATTAAATACTTATAAATATTGTTTAAAAATTTTAAAATAACAGGTAAATAGAAATAGTAGTATTTATTTCCAGAAGCGACCAATTAAAAAGAATGGTGGGAGTATGATGGTTAAAAGAAAAGAATAAACGAACACCACCCGTGTTGCATTAATTGATGTTCCATCAAAATATAAGAAAAGCAATTTCCAATGGGTTTTAAACCGACCAGCGAGAGAATCCGGGTTCGTTTCATTGATGGACTGAGGTATTTGACTATTGACATTCCATTGTCTCTCACAAACTCAAGATATTTTTATCGGACAACCCTCCGTTGTTTGTTGTTATTGTTTTGCCAACCACTCCCTCGTTTTCAACTTTGCTCCATTGCAACGTTATCCACCCTACTTCCTATCATTTACTGCTTTAAAGTTTGGAGCACTGCAAAATTTAAATACTCCACTGATCTATCTATAAGTTATTTAACTTTATTAGTTTTTACTTAAAATTTAACAACTTTTTAATTTTCTCTTTATTTAATATGTAGTATACTTCATGAGAACAGAATTAACATAATAATAAATAAATGATAAAATTATATACTCATATCTTAACAAAAAATTTTCTCTTTATAGGACAAAGAAATACTTCTAATTAGATTTGGATGGCCCAAATTTATTTCTTTTAAAATATTCCAATGTATGCATACTTTTTCCAAAAATAATTTTTATTTTTATTTAAAATCATCAGTTAAAAATTTTAAATATGACCTGAGTCTCGATGATATTCGGGCGATAAAAATCTCACAGCATGGAAGAGCAATGTTGCAGCAACCCCACTTCGCTTTGCCTTTCCAGCCAAGCTCTTGGTCTCTTCATGATTTGACCCAATTAGCCTCATCAACAAATTGAGCACAACGTTTCGCATCATCACCATAGAAGTCAATTTCCAATCTTGACCCCGAAAATATCCCCAAAAAGACAACACGATGTGTTCCACGATTCCACTTTCTTGGCGTACCCTTTTCCCACCTAAAATGATTCCCTCCAACACGTCAATTTTGGACGTTCTCTAGCTGCAGCGAAACCGGGTTCAGGAAACTAGCTAGACAACTATGGACAGTTTAACAAACTCGCTCGAGCCCCCAATACTCTTCTGATTCTAAATATAAGACCTTTATACTAACTAATATAAAGGTTTTATAGTTAGAATAATATAAAGATCTTATATCTAGGATCAGAAGAATATATAAGATTTCACATTGTTGTGTTTGCGATCGCGATTAGCAATTACTAACAACAATAAATTAGAGCTTTTAACACAAGTAAGGGGCATCTGTTGATATATACATCTGAGAGTATAGATCCCAGAAGGGTGGCGATAGATGATGCGATACACAAAGGCCAAAGCTTGAAGGCATCTCTCAATTAGTAAACACATACTAATGTATATGAATAAGATCGCTCAACTGAGAACTCAAAACTCTCCGCAGCATGTTAACTAGGATTCTTCTTGTATAGCTCTGAAACGAGATCTAACTAGCTAGCTAGCTCGCTGGTTCAATAATTGGAGGTCCCAAGTATTCAATTCCATCCATCTGAGAATTCTCTGGCATCTCAATCTCTTCAAGCCACCCATAACTTCCCTTTTCGTCTTCCTCCCACGCCCTGTTCTCTTCACCTACAAGACCAAAATGGGTTCCAATCAGAAACATATATACATATATATATATCATCAACAAAGAATAGAGTATAATCTATGGGACGGAAAGTGTTACTGACTTGAAAAGGCACTGTAGGGGTGATCTCTGTAGTAGGAACAGTCGCGGCCATCTTGTTTAGAATAAGGAGGGCCGATCACGTCGAGCACTGCGCATGGAGTTATGGCTGTGAATTCATGTATGTTGCCTCCTGTGGTCGGATACAAAACTGAAGTATCGCAAGGCGCATTGAAGACCTTATCAGCTTTTAACTTGGCCAATTTCACTGCAGATACGGAACAAACAATTATCAGACCTCAGATCGAGAATACCAGTACATGCAACGCCATGAATATATATATATTTTTCAGATGAAGACTTGAATATCCACCTTGAGATGGTCGGGACGTATTCTCAGGTGTTTCGGGAATAGGATCAACGAAATCGTAGGATTTAATGTGCATTTGTCCAAGTAGAAGCTTGCTGAACACGGTCATTCCTGGGTGGTTGTGGAGGGGAATCACCCCCGTTGCTGGTAGGAAGAAGATGCAGAGCTATTCATACAAAAGAGAAGACCAATTATATTGACACATATCATCACACCGACACAAAAACATACACATACAAGAGATCGCGAGACTTACAGAGAAATTATCGCACTGGTAAATGGTTGTGTATGTGACCCTTGGATTCTCTTTGAACACATTTCCAGGCTTGAAGAATTGCAATTCACTACTTAGACCAAAATCTTCTGGTTCCACAGCATCTGATTACAGCATCAAAACGATATTAATCAAGAGAAGTATCTAAAGGAAGAAGAATTCAACACTGGATACCAGTGGACACATACAGATCGGGTATACGGCCCTCAAAAGGCACGCCTTTTCATCGCTAGAATACAATGGGCAGGGAGATTTCTGGTTTGTAACTAGCCAGAAAGTAGTAAAGAAACAACAGGCATAACATGCAAAGGAGATCAGAATCCCATGATCTATACATACCATCAACTCAAACAGAGATGCGTGATCAGAGAGAAACCAATGGACGATATTTTCTCATTGAACTAAACATATCAAACCAGAAGTAAAATCAAGAGAAAGTTGTGTACCGAGAATGTGGCATAGTTTCTGAACATCTTGGGAAGAAGGAACAGTGCCAGGGCCTTTAAATGTGTCTCGGCATGAGACGAAAAGCTCCTGAAGTGCCTTTGAAACAGTGGGACGCCTAACCCGTCGGTAAGGCTTCTTCTTCTTACCGATGAATCTCTTCACATACCCAACCTTGTTCATATGCCCTACTCTGTCTCTTCCTTGCTCCACCAAACCCGCCTCCATTTTCACAGATACTACCGCAGAGTCTCGAAACCTAAATTGATGCAGATGGCCTCTGTCCTTTCACCCAGACATTCAAGAAGACACAACGAAGATCTTTGCTTCCGCTATGGGATTCGGAGCGTCACTTACGAGAAATAGAACTCGACACCCAAAATCCAGAAGGGAGCCAATTTCGAGACTTTCACATGAGTTGAAGAAACTATGGGCCTAATCAAGAGTGCAAATGAAACATAAGTGCAGTTGACTGAAGAGCGTAAGATGTATTCGTATTTGCAGAAAGCTGAAAATGAATTGAAGTGCCCGTACGAAGATAAGAGAGATTACTGGGGATGATAGGGAAATTAAGGAAGAAAGCGGGAGATGACATCTATCTATATAGAAAGAAGAAAGCGAGGACAGAGAAAGAGAGAGGAAGGAAAAGAAAAATCAAAGGTTCAGGACTAAAACCAGGGGCCATAAGGCATTGGATAATGGCAATATGGCATAATGTTTAGGTTGACAAGTTCTAAGAAATCCCCCAAAAAAAAAAAGGGAAAGGCAGTATTTTTCAGCCTGCCGTACCTAGATTGCATGGAAACTGGCGGTTAAAGCGACCCCCTGTTTTGCGGGTTAAATCGGTGAGTCAATGATGAAGCGGCCAAAACGCCACTCGGCTTGGATGATTCTGCAGTGATGGAGAATGAAAGAGCAAATCAAGGTGCCTCTGAACTATAATTAATTAATTAATTCATAAAAGAACAAAGCGTGATTAATGAAACAGGGAACTTATGCGCTCTGCATGGCCAACGACAAGTGTCTGTGTTTTCTGGGGGTTATAACTTGTGTTCAAGGGCTAACAGTGCCAAGTGGCCTCTTCCTTCTGATTTTTTTTTATTAACTTATTATTCTTGATTTTTATTTATTTTATATTAAGAAGCTCATGAGCTAAATTTATTCTAACATGTTTCCGAAATTACCATCGCGTTCTGTTAGAATGACGATGAACACCTTTGGTCATTTAGCGTAGGGGGAAAACAGAAAGGAAAGGCGAGCGGCTTCTACTTCTACAGCCATTCATTTTCTTTTTTTAAAAAAAAAATTAAAGGATGAGGTATTAATGATCTAAGGTACTGAACAAATGATTTTTCACTCACGCTTAGCTTTCATAGCACTAAGTGATTTATTTTGATTATTTGCATTTCATAATAATCCCGTGATTGGAGAGTGATTTTTTTTTTTTTGCGCCCGCGCATGGGTGAATATAAGAGTTGCCTACTAATTTTAACCCACAAAAAAAATAAGGAAAAATAAATGTACAGGCAGTGGTTTCGATAAGGCAATAAGGCTAAAAGGGGCGAGAGGCGAATGAGTCGGAAATCGCGATCACCAGTTGTCAAAAGCGTGGAAATTGGAAAAGCAAGCGCCGGGCAGTGAAGGATACAAAACGTTTCTGTGGATGCGAACCTGACAAAGCTCAATATAATGGGCTGATCGACTCGTCATTGTTTAATAATCTAATATCAATATGCTCCTTCATATATATATATATATATATATATTTTCCACTCCTTTTTTCTTGCCAGCATATTTTTTTACGATTCCAATAAGATCTTAAACTTTTGGGGTGGGGTGGAATGGGGTGGGGGTTAAATGAATTGATTCGTGAGAAGGAAAAAAAAAAAACCCAGCTGCTCCGTAGTTGTTTGGATCACCATTGAAGAGCTGTTATTAAAATATTTTATTGCAATTTCAAATAAGTCCTCAATTGTTCGGTGAATTGCAGCCCAGCTGACGAGAAATATTTACAGTGAGTTTCCAAGAAAAAAAATAATTATCAATAAGTCTTAATAACAAGTAAATAATTACTCCTTCGGTCCTTAATATAGGACCTACTTGTTGAGTTGATTTTTGTCCTAAATATAAAATCAATTTCTCATATTTATCAATTTCCTCTAAATTACCCCCATGATACTCCCTCGACCATAATCAAGTAGAACAGAAGATGGGTATTAAGAAAGATGATTATGGTATTTTAGAAAAAATGTGTCATCATTTCTTATAATTAACTAACTTACCTAACTTTTTAATCTAATCAAATTTGTCAAATGAGTCTTATATTAAGGACTGGAAGAGTATTATTTGTTGCTGTAAAACTTGTTATTACGGAGGACTCTATTATCATTGAGACTTTCTAAAAATTAAGTTTTTTTTACTGGAGATTTCATACCAATTCTCCCATAAATAAATGAGTTACAAGAAGAAAAAAAAAATCAGCTACTCAATAGTCTCCCTTACAAGGGAGGCGACTCGTACGCTTACTGGATTTTGGGGTGTCGTCTAAGTTAAAAGCTCTTCACAATAATTTGTGTATAAAATTTTATATTTAAGTCGGAGGAGTAATTCACACTTATTAAACCCTACCCTTATTTAATACACATATATAACAACAGTCTACAAAATCATAAATTATGAGTAAAATTATATTTTTCCATAATAAATTTAATGAGGTGATTTCTGTTAAGGAAAAAATTTTCTATCGTGTAAATAATACCATAAAAATGCCAAAGGAATTATTTAAACGAGGACGGGATCTGCATTTACCAATTATTAGCCCTCACTAGTTTCCTCTAAGACTTTGCTTAACAAAAAAATAATGATATATAAGGTTAAATTATTTCTAGAGTTCGAATCAAGTATGCTGAACCTTCAATACTATTTAAATTTAAATCAATGCCCTTTTCAAATTTCATTCACGACAACTAATAATTTTAAAAACTGTTATTTATGGGCACAGATTATGATTTGATGAATGTAAATATTTATTTTTTTTAAATTGAATATGGATTTAAAGATATTTTTCCCAACGAGTTAAATCTAATTCACTACGAACTACATTATTTTGCTGATAAAAAATTACAGTATTTTTTTTAGCATTTCCAGGTTAATGATAGCAAATCAAACTGAACCACCGATTTTAAAATAGGACAAAACTGAATTCATTTCAGCTTTCAACAAGTTCGTCATTTTGCTATGTGGATTGTTCAGTATAGACTTGATTCTGACCAGAATTAAATCAAATTAAGCCTCATACAAACGTGTGTGTGAAAAGAGGGACGGATTATGAGACAAAATGGGCGAAAAGAAAGTCAAAAAAATGAATATCTTTGTTCACACTAGTTTTCTGTATTTTTTATTAATTTTTTTTCAGATATGAGTATCTTTTTATTAAAAATAATTTTGTTTGAGATACTGTCTAGTACTAAAGGTAAGTATATCTTTCAGTAAAAATTTAAATTTTGATTCTTTACGTTATGAATTTTTTTTTTTAATTAAACCCAATGTTCTCTTTTTAAAATTTCTGGCTAGTGTTTAATGAAGATTCAGTAATATTTATCAGGGGGGAAAAAAGCCAAGAATGCGTGAGCAGCTTGCAAGGCTTACGTGGGTTAGGGACGTCATCCATGATCCATCCCGCGGAAGGCCCATGCGGCACGCGGCTATGCATTCGGAGCGAACGGTGTAACCAAGGGATGGCACGTGTCCACCAGGCCTTTCGGTTCCCTCCTTTTGAATTTCATTTGATTTTATTTTACGTTAGCATGCCTTCGACATAAGCCCGAGACAGAGAGCCAAATAATTGCATGAAATGTTTTTAAAATTAGAAGAATAATTTACCAAAAAATTAATAAACCGTAAGGTAAACACATACTTATAAGATTTTAGTATTGGAATTAAAACTATATTAACAAATTTTAAATATTATTTCAATTTGAAAATGCACATGATATATGATTAAATTTTTTAAAATATCCAACGTTGAAATTTGAATGATTTTAAAACGGACAAAACTTAGATCTACTTTCTGAGGTCCATTTTTTAATCAAATCCTAATCCATGAATTTCTCTTAATAGTCACTAATCCTTCATGTATACACGCGCTCTTTGAAATATTACGTGATAATTATTTATAATGACCAAATTTATACCTCAAGGGCTAAATATACGAACCAACATTTGCAAATTTTTGTAGTTTAAGTGTTAAATGCCTGAACTTAATTATTGGGAATAAACAATTAATGAATCTAATTTTTTAAATAAGTTTTCCTCAAATTTTTGTCCATCCCAATCATTTTTCCATTGTTTTCTATATTTAATTTTGTTGACATGCGCTATATGATTTCTCTTAACTTACTAAACAAGTATTCAAAAGAAACTAGTGATCAGCTCACGCAATTTGTTTTCGTTCATTGAACTGATGTATTGATTTTACAAACCAATAAAGCCCTCTGATCTAATATTTTCTATTGATATCAAAATCAACATAAAAAGGAATAATAGTTAGATGAACTTTTTTACGTCTATTATTTTAAGTTTTTCAATCACATATGACAATAAAAAATATTACATATACTAATAATCGAAAATATCACACTACCTTCAATCCTAAATATAATATCTAATTTATAGTATGTAATTTATACTTTAAAATAGATTTTATATTTAGGATGCGAGCCACTCCTTCGGTTCTCAATGTAAAACCTATTTAATTAATTTGACTAGATGAAAAAAAATAGGTAAATATGTTAATTATAAGAAATTTAACTAGTTTTTTTTTCTAAAGTACTATAATCATCTTTTTTTAATATCCTTTTTATTATTTCTTCTACTTGATTATGGTTGAGAAAGTACTAATAGATATAATTTAAAAATAATAATAAATGTGAAAAATACATTTTATATTTAGAATAAGATTAATTTAACAATTACGTATTATATTAAAAATAACAAGACAATAATATAAGCAGAGAATATCAATTTTGGTGTGTTTACAGCAACCAGTAGGTGAGCATTTTTCACGTGGACGAGTGGGAGGAGCATGCAGAAGTGATAATGTACCGGGGGAATACTTTAGTGTCGTCTGCTTGGGATATAATTAAAGCTGCTTCTTCACGCATCCCTTTCCTGTCACCATCATCTAAAGTGGGAAGATACAGCCTCGTCTCTGAAAAACATAAGCAACACCAGAACGAGACGGGTTTCCTGTTTTTTCATCTCTTCATGTGTGATAAATATTCCTCTGATTTTTTTTTTAACCAGCAATTTCTCTGATTTTATTTAGATGTCAGACGAAGTACATCTTTAAATTGTTCATATAAACATTCAATGTTACATTTTATTAATTATTGCGTAAACTGTTGTTTTTTTAAAGGAAAACTGTATATATCAAATAAAAGTAAAGAAATATTTGGATAGAAACAAAATTATGATTTTATAAGTGTTTTTACAGTATTATGAAATAAATATGTAAAAAAATTTGCCTCAATTCACAAAAAGTTACTTTTTAAAAGCATTCTTTGAACAATTCAAACATCCTCTAAAATTGAAAAGCTATTAATT